AATAAGGGCTGTTTATAGCTCAAACATGGTAGAATTACTTAGACTCACTGTAAGTCAATACCATTTTTATTGTTACTTACCTATTCTTTGTGTAGTTTTCAAAATTCGTGGGTCCTCGGCGTCGGGAGCAACATCTGCAACTGGTTGCAAAAGTTCATAAAACTTGAGGCATGTATTCTGCGAATCGCAGAATAAGAGGTTTTGGAGGAAACTGGTTCCAGTGCGACAGGGACCAATAATAAAAACCGGCCGTTTAATTGGGATCTGAAAAATAAAATAGAATATATTAGGTATGTCATCATCGATACCAAACATTTTCTCTTACTTTACATGAGGGTCATTAACGCAACTTTCATCCGGGCACATTACCGGACCGTGTTTCAGTGATTCCCTCATCTGGTCTACACATGGGTAATATACATGTGCCCAACCCAAAGTCGGCCTGTAGACATTGTGCGGAACTGGCTCGATCATTCTAATCGGGTAAATTACGAATTGTATGGATACTGTATTTTTTAAGTAATAAATTCTAAGGATTACAACTTTCATATTGATAGGTAGCAACACAATTGAAAAGCAGTCTATTCTATACAGTAAAATGATTCCAAAATTATATATCTGAAAAGTTGATGACTTTCCTGGTTGAAAGGATCGAGCCATTACCGTAAGTATGACGTCTAGGTTCCTATAATCTAGTTCACTTAGTTAACAAGCACTAGCTTGTTATGTAGATCACATTACAACCGAATGGACCCGCACACATCATGTAGATTTACATACAATTGAATTGGAGATGCGGGGCAAAATAGACTTTCTTTTGAAAAAATTATACACAGAAAACACAACAGCAATATCAGCACCATATGTGTAGCCGTTAAACTGGCAGATATCCGGCTTACAGCTTTGTATAACGGTTATCATCAGCTAAGGCACGAAGTTAATGTTTACTGGGCATCTAAAACGTATCCTGCACTGAAGATCCCTCATATATAAATGGTAATATAAATGATAGACGTCAGTTTTACCACAAATGTCTACGGAGCTTTGTTACTAGGCCCTATCATATTAACTTTTTTTAAATTTTCATTTAAGTTTTATTTTATGTCAACAAAAGAATACACCCCTTCTGTACATGTACTTCATCAGAAACGCCCTAATCCAAAGTGGCCCCAGAGCCTGAGCCAGCATATAGCCCCCAGAAGATTAATGAACCTTTATATGCGCCTAGAAGGATGGTGACCATATTGAGATCATGTGGCTATCCTACGCAATATAAATTCTGACATAATAACATGTGTTATGTAAGGGCAATGCACTGTTCTGTAAACCTAAAATAAAGATATTCACTTGACGCAATCAGTTTTCAATAAAATAACAATAGAAAAACTAACATATCCAGCTGCTGTCGCCCTTAAAGAAAAATAATGCAATACTTTTGTCACACACCCCTCGTACATACATATATATATATATATATATATATATATATATATATATATATATATATATATATATATACTAACCTTGCTAAAGTCAACTGACGGCAGTCGTCTAGATATCGTTATTCTGTTGTTAAGGACATCAACCAAGAGTCTTTCAACCCCCTGTCTTCCTGCCGAAGTTAAAGCCCTGTCTTCACGAAAGCACCTCAGTAATAAGGTAAGTCCTTCATACCACCAGCGGCCGGTGAGGGTATCCGACAACAATAACTCACGGTCTTCTTCAGAAAAATGGCAGAGAATACTTTCCTCTGTGAGAGGAATACATGCAGGTTTTACTCCAGACATTGTTCAATATACTCACCGTACACTCAATCAAGCAGATTGTTCAGTACAGGCAAAACAATGTTCAGGCCTATATGCCTTAGAAACGTCTATATTAACGCCGTGAAGAACTTGCAGCCAAGAGCCGATCTGCGAAGTCACTTAATTACAACTTGTTTTTACTTAGATAAATGGAATTTAGTTCTAGGCGTATCTTACATGACTGGGGCAGCTCACGACAATGAGCCAATGTGTATGATTAGCCGAGAAGTGCTGAATGTGAAACGTAGAGACCCATTTACATTACCATGACAACATTCTGTCCTTTATCGTATCACATACTGCCGAAAATTGAAACGAGACTTACAGGGGATACAGATTACAGACTAAAGATGGCTAGACCGCGCTGCCATCAATTGATTTCAGCAACGTTAGTACACACTGCTTTTCATATCATAGTGATGATTATTTTGGAATGTTAATTTCGTGGTCTACATTTAGCTCAGCTTATGTCTCAAATTCCTGTCGTTAGATGTAGATTATGTGCAAAGTGCATTAGAGCATGCACGCCTATATGGGTAACATAGTTTCCATCATCTTGTAACATTGCAGTTTTCAGGTCATTGCTTAAGCGTGTCGGCAACCAAACATATATGGATCGTTTTATCATGTTTTAGTTTTCGCTGCTGGTATAAACACAATTTGTCACATGCTATATATATTTTTTTTACTTTCCTTGATTATGATATGATAAAATATAAAATGCATGGTTTTTAGACAGTTTCGGATATTTTTTTCACAGAGGAAAGTATTCTCTGTCATTTTTCAAGCATAGTGACCAGTCTTTACCCTCAATATACGTACTGGATACGTATGCATCTCAAAGACTAGCTACTATACTAAGGTAACGAGTTATAGTAGTGTCCTAGATGATAAGGAAAGCTCGTTATATCTTGAACTAAATAGTGCGCTTCACCTTGAAAGACTTTCTGTGATTGGACAATGCGTCCTAGGCACGGCCATGTTTTACCCTACGCGTTGTATCTTTGCATTACCTAGTGCGGGTGTTTGACACTGAACACCGTTTCCTAGTGCAGCAATTGCGGAAAGAACCCAGCGCATTCCGGTGGCAAAATACTTTTTTGTATTAGTTTTAAAGTGGACCTTATGTCCCGGTGATGTGGGATGTAAATAACATCTCTCACAGATAGGATTACGGCCTAAACTCTGTTTTGGGGTAAAATGGAATTTATTATATTTCAATGAGTTGTTTACAATGTATTTATTGTGAAATATGAATTCCACACGAACCGTTGTTATCCCTTTAATGATATTACTGCTTTTGATTACATAGTATGTTTGTTGCCACGTTTTCACTATGACACCTAGTAAATGTCACAGGTATAGGACAGGTAAAACGCTGAAGTATTTAAGCAAAACGTGGTATTAATTACCAACATAATATAACCTAAAAATTCCAACCATATGACGACTGATAAAGGTTAACACTGATCAGAAAATGTTATTTTGTACTCCTCCACATATTCCTTAAAGTGCTCCAAAACTTCCTCTTCTGTCAGGTGATAACGATTCAGTTCATACTTGTGGCGGCCATATTTGTTTTGTGGGTTTTCTTTCACATACGCCTCCATTTTGTCTTTCCCTTGGTTGGTCAGTTCCAGGTCAAAGTGATCGTATATTTTCTTCACAGCATCCAGGGGTGATCTAACAAGGTCGTCAAACGCAATATCGATGAATCTGTGCTCCAGTTCTGGGTGGTTCTTCCTAAACTTCATCATCTCTATTCCACCGTGGAGGAATGCCCAATTCAACACTTCCCTTCCAAGTTGCTTTAAATCTACGTCACACTGTTTATAAGCAAAAAGTTTGTAAGTTTCACGGAAAGAACTAAAGGAAGCGACGGTGGAGCACGGATTGCGGTAAGTGTGAACGAAGATTGCGTCCGGATACACATTCAGCAGGGCATCCAAATACAAACTGTGAACATTATCTTTAAAGATTATTCGTTGATCGCCGTTCACAGATTCTGAAACTAAAATTTAAAAAATTTTTATTCTGAAGAAAAATTTTCACTATATTCCCATTTATAATCTTTAACACTGTTCGTTTTGCCCAGACAATAATAGGAAATAAACTAACTAACTAACAATTTGGTTCGTGATAAAAATGGATGACAGTGAGAGGTGTGATAAATTTAGTCATAACTGTAAAAAAATGGGAAAAGAAATTTGAATTACGCAGTCATTAATGTATAGAAGTAGATATCATTTGGTGAAAAGTAGCAAAAACAAACCTCTGCTATGAAGAATAAGCTGAGTCTGCTGTTTATGGAAACGATAAGCGTCAACCATTTCATCAGTGGTCCGCGCCTCCATCCACTTCATATACTCTATACAGTTGCCGCCTTGGATAAGGTTTTGTTTGAAGACACCAATGTTATCAAACAGAAGGTGGTCTTCCATTGGACCAACAGCCTCCTGGTTGTGCATGGTTTTCAGAACAGGCATGTTTGCGTAACCCCAAGCTGAAAATCGGAAGTTTTTAAAAGGTTTATTGAATGCACAATTAAAGACTGTCACGGATATGGCGGTTCCATGATACACACGCAATGTAAACTAACGGTATGTGTAAATATACGGTTTGTTAATCTCTCTTGTTCAATTTCGACTGCTTGGCTTGTTGATACTGTGAAAATGAAAATTTTTTTCTTTAATTTTTGTGCTTCTGCTCACAATTCAAAATAAATAAAATATCTATCTATCTATCCTGCAGTGAATTTTCAAGCTCCCGTTCCACTGGGCTTGCGACCCACTGGAGAAAGAATTTTTGCCCACAAATACAAACATTCAATAATATAGAAGGCTGTAATATTCAAGATTGAACTATCAGTTCGATGTTGACTATCAAATAATTTTATAGCGCCAACTTTGAAGGGGTGAGAGTTGGCAAACACTTGTTCTCTAATAGGTAACAAGAAGACAATGTTTGTGTATATTGCTTACCTAGTCTTTGTGTAATTTCTATAACCCTCGGGTCCGCCTCGACAGGGGCGCCATCTATAATTGGTCGCAAAACTTCATAAAACTTCAGGGATGTATTCTTCGGATCGGAGAATAACAGGTTTTGGAGGAAACTTGTGCCAGTGCGCAGAGGACCAATTATGAAAATCGGCCGTTTGATATGGATCTGAATAAAAATATTACANCAAAAAGTGTGAAGCACATTCAGTCCATTTTAAGGCCTGCTGTACCTCAGTCAGGTTAGCCTGCATTTGATTTTTTACTCCATATAATTATATAGAAAAGTTTGAATATGTAAGCCCATTTGCCCTTGAAAAAAATTATTAGTTACTTGCAAATGTTTTCTTTTGATATTATTAAAAGAGAGACTAAAGAAAGAGATTAAAATCATCAGAACTAATGTATGTACCACTCGTTTCATCTATTAACCTTGTCTTAATCTTTCTTTTTGTAATTAGATTTATTTCATAAAATAATATATACCAAATTCAATTAAATAAATTGCAGTACTTTTTTTAAGTGTCTACACTTGCACAAGAGGAAGCCATGTCACATCAATCTGATCACTATGTTTTCCACTGTGGCACTCTAGAGCAGTGGCACCTGGCAGGAAACCACTCCAAAGTGAATGACTTTGTGCAGGAGTTTAGGTAGTACCATAATAACTTCAACTTCATGGTGTATTTAATTAAGTTACTATTCAAGTGAATTGATGTAAAGGGTTTTTGTTCATCTCCTTTAATGGCATCCAATTGCCTTAATACCTACTCAGTTACAAGCCTGAAAGTGTTAATCTTATATTTCATGGCAGGACATCTTCATTTGGTAAAAGATACAGTACTGAGTTACAGAAGAAACTTGCCAAATACTATCAGAAAGCAGACCAACCTAAAACTATGAAAGGGCCCATGGAACTTGAAGAAATGTATAGTACTGCAAAGCAAAACAGTAAGTTTTAAGCTTCTCGGAGCGACAAATGCAGTTCAATACCTTGTTAATATTCAGTAGCTGTGTGCTACAGCCATAGTGAAATTACTTAACACCAAATTTGTTTTTGCTGTGACTTTAGTTTGTTCTGAATTAAATGTAGGCCATTGGCTGAACCTTTTGAATAAATATTTATAACAGACTCCATTTTGTTCACTTCATCTGGATGTATTTTGTATTGCATCACAAAAAGTGCCAAATTCTTTTTATTTCAGATGTGGTTGGGGATGGCAAAAATCAAAAGAAACAACTAGAGAGACTGGCATCTTCTATCAAAACCACCAGGGGGAAGCACCTTGTGGATACAATTAATCACATCAAGACAAACCAAAAGAAAGGTGAATCTGAATCCAACTCCAGTGTCATAGATGAGGGGGAAATTAGACAGAAGAAACTTGAGGCTAAAGTTAAAGAACGAAGAGATAAAATACAAGCCAATGTTGCCAAACATGGTAAGGATCTTAATTTAATACAAGTGAAGATAATTTAACATGTGTTGTTCACATTTTTTAAAGAAGACAAAACTTATTGTTCTCTTATTTTTTTGCTTGTTAATTCAATATTTATACAATATATACATTTTAGAATTGATCATCTCTGATTTGTTGGTGAAGAGCCTTTCTTAAATCTTTTTCAAAGAAGATTAAATGATTTGGAAAGCTGTCTATGTTAAATTCATGTGTAATGATTTAATTTTGAACTGCCGTTGCTTATTTAAATGTTACTCTAATGAAATGGTAAGATGTGCTTTTCAAATTTTTTTTTTTTCAGATTACACTGAAGAAAGGGATTTACTCGAGAGTCTGCATGCAAATTACACACAGTGCATTGGTGGGAACATCTCACCTATTTCATGTGCTCAGAGTTTGGTCAACGTTATGGTGCACTTTTCAAAGAGCTTTTACCCAGATAAATATTCTGTAAGTGTTGTCTTGCAAGCTGAAACTGTGTGATGTCCACACCAAGCCCAATTAGAAGTTTGATATGCTTACTTAAACCATGATTTACTATAGATAAGTCAGATTTGTATTTCCCAACTTATATGTATCTTATGAGATTGAAGCAGCATTTATTGGTTGAGAAAATATTTAATCCTTTGAAAAAGTTTAAGAAAGAAGATGTTCCATTTTTTTTTTTTATGAAAAGCAACTTGTATGGACAAAGCAAAAAAAAAATGTTCAAACTTATTTTGAGTATTAGTATTTGTTTACTTTAATATTTTGTTGGTATTTATATGATTCAGGAGAAAAGCAGAGGATTATTGACAGATCACTTCCTAAAATCCTACAAAAGTTTAAGAGACAATCACATGTCAGAGAATGGAGAAAATGAAACCATGAAAATTGCAGAGTAAGTGTGCAGTAAAATGGAGTAAAATGCCATATGATTGTGTATCAAGACTTGGATTTGTTTTTAACTTGATAAAGAGCAAATACAGGTGATTTGAGAGGCTGTGTAGACTTCTTTGAATGCTGCATATTTGTTATTCAGCTGTTTTGGATATTGATATTACATTGTATTTCAACTACAACTACTTCTGTTCTGTAACCAAGTCGATTGCCTATCTCACATATCACCCTTCTTGAAGCTTTTTCAAACTTTGTCCCCTGTATAGGTATCAGCTGCAGGTATTGATGAGGATTGAGCTGGAGTCAGCATTACACAATGGTGAGGAGGAGGTGGGAGATGCCTGGGTGGAAGAGGTGTGTTCATTCAAGGGTCAAGCACTTTTAACTAATATAAGAGATGGAAAATTTATATGTAACAAGTCACCTTTATTTGGGACCCTTTTCAAGCAGTTTATTGGTAATGTAGGTCAGTGATTGCTCATTGTTCATGGCGCACCATAAAACACAAGTATGGCAAGTCGTGAAACACCAATAAAGTGTAGTTCTTTAATACTGCCAAGCAATATTTGTAACAAATTAGATTTCTCTATATTTCAGGTGGCAAATATGCTAAGGAGAGCAGCTTTTTCATCAGATCCAACTTTTTTGCCACAGTTCCTTAAAGAAGTGGTTCTAGAAAAGTAACTATATTTGTATTTTTATTAAATTATTTTAAAAAGTTTGTTTAACTGACAGATCTGGGAAATTGATGATTTGATGTAAACAATATTACCTCTATGTCCACCACCCATTCAAAGGTATAAGCCTTTAGCTTGTTATATTATCATTAGTACAAATTTTGTGACTTCACGCCAAGCTATCTCAGTGTCATGTAGATTAACAATGTACTGATGACCAATTCCAGCTATGTGTATGTCCTGCCAAAGACTGTTGGGAGGATCTATGAAGAACTTATGACTGAGCCTCCTGAAGAATATGCATATCTGTTTTCCTGTGAGAATAGTGACAAAGATGATTCCATGAACCAATCCAACCCCTTTATAGCTGAACCACCAGCCCCAATGTCCCTGAGGTCAGCCTCTTCCATTGGGTCATGTTCTAATGATCCTTGGTCCAACAAATCTGGGTAAGTTTTACTTAATTGTCTCTAAATATATTGTTGTGGTTTTGTTTCTGTGTATATTTTTATTTTGTACATAATCAAAAATGTAATACTGCAGTGGAGTCACTGTAGGGTGTTATTAAGGGGAGAAATGTGCATGAAAGAATTGAAGATTTCACTCTGGATCTTTTGTCAGAATTACTCTTTAAGAACCACAGCTAGTAATGGGACTGAAAAGTGATTCAGTGCCATCTGTTTAAGGATATTTGGTATTTTGCATTCTATATGATTAAGATGGGAAAGTTATTGCTATTTCACAAATGTTTTAAATTTGCTATTGTTAATTGTTTTGGTTGCAGAAGTAGAAGCAGAAGCCTGGTCTCCCACTCCAGTTTCACAGATGCAAGTTTAAAACGACAGATCATGATACCACAAGTGAAAAAACCAAAAGTTAGTTTTCAGAAATGCTTTATTTTTCAATATATATACTAAGCACCCTCTTGAGATCTTAAGATATCTTGTTTGTTCTTGAATCCTTTAAATGTGATGTATACAATTAATAGAAATAGCCTGAATAAAATTTCCCAAGACGGTGTTGTTATATAATACAGTTGAATATTTTTTGCATTTTCTTTGATATTGACTGAAGGTAGTGCTGACAGCAAATCTTCACTTTCCAGGTGGAAAAGGCAAAAGTCCGGGGTGCAAGGCCTGTTACAAGAAGTAGTGCAAAAAAGAGGAGTGCAAGAAAAAAGAAAATAATTGGTAAGCTGCACACCTTTATATTAAGTAGGAGGTCTAGTCAGATGTCACTGTTGCACTTTGCTGGGGTAATGTTATTTCTTCTATTTTACCATATTATCTGTGAATATGAAACTAGGTTGATAATGAT